CAAGCCCCTAGCGCATCAAGGCAATTCCTCACCACTTGTGCGTGGCACGTGCCATCTGCGATCAAACCGACGACGGCATCAACATGAGCCTCCGTACTGGAAGCCTCCGGGCAACACACGCTTTCAAAACAAAGCGACCCATAAACTCCTCCTCGAAGCACAGTCGTGCCTGAAGCCACAACCTTCTCAAGGCAACCTAGCCCACCCAATGGGGCTTCAGGATTCTCAGGATGGTCCCGCTTGGGCTCACACGAGTCTTGGGGGTTCAACGAGGCCCCGAGTGCCCCTACACCTATAGCCTATTGCCCATGGAACCTGCACGTAAAAGGAGTAGCCGTCCTAGTCTTTGAGGCCTACGCCCGCCTCCTCTGCGATGCAGTCGGAAGGAAGCCCTTGTGGCTCCTTCTTCCCGCTGGCCTCGCGTCCGCAGCATCTAAGTTTTTGAGGAACCCAACCGTGATGCCCTCAAACCATCGCGATTGGTGAAGGGCCTACAGCCACAAGACACAACCCTAAAACCCTAAACCCTACACCCTAAACCCTAAAACCCTAAAACCCTAAAACCCTAAACCCGAAACCCTACACCCAGACCCTTCAAAGCTGCGACCCTTCTTCTTCTTCTTCGCTTCTTAGCTTCACCCCAAACATCGAAGTGCTTGCTGCCTCTCAGTGCCCCGGTTTCCCGAGCCGGCTTTTGGGAGCTCAGCTTTGAAGGGTTAAGGGTTTAGGGTTTAGGGGTCAGGGTTCAGGGTTCAGGGTTCAGGGTTCAGGGTTTAGGGTTTAGGGTTTAGGGTTTAGGGTTTAGGGAAGCGAATCGCAAAGCTTCTCGGGCGCCTCCTCGCAGTACTCGGGCTTTCGTGCATGTAGCTTTGTCCACAGCGGCTGCGTCACGCCATTGATCTGAGGAGCAAAGGTTATAGAAGTTGGGATTTCAGCTCCTTAACAGGGATATAATTGGGGGTACTCTAATCCCTCTGACGGACTCTTAGTACAAGGGGGAACATCCCAAGAGCAAAGGTTAGAAGCTTTCTGAAGTGCCAAACTGAAGGCTCCTACTACAGATTTCATCTTGCAACCCCCCAGGCCCTCCCAAATTTCGGCATCCTGCTCCCAGCAACCCTTGATCGCCAGAAGTCTCGTGGTCAACTCTTCAAGTATAAGAACCAGGTCCACATTCTAAAAGGACTCAGAGCAGAAGACCAGAATTGTAAGCGCTCAGACCTTCTGAACCCAAGTGCCCCAAAAGCCCTAAGGGCGGGAGGGGAACCCGGTATCTCATAAAGCGGGTATCGCTACTCTATGACAAACCTGCGGAAGGGTAGATTACAACCAAAGATGTGAAACAGTTAGCCCAGCTAACACCCAACACACAAAACAAGGAAAAAAAAACAACAGCACCTACAAACATAACACAACAATGATCAATAAAGACACTGCCAGGAACGCCACGACCTTAGGCACGTCCAACTGAAGTACCCTAAACTCATTCTACAGAGCACCCCGGCCGCAAACTAGACTTGCCCAAGTCCAGAGACTAGCGCCCTGTCCGTAGCCCCACGCCACGCGCACACGCGCACACGCGCACACGCGCACACGCGCACACGCGCGCACGCGCGCACGCGCACACGCGCACACGCGCACACGTGCACACGCGCACACACGCACACGCGCACAGGCGCACAGGCGCACAGGCGCACAGGCGCGCAGGCGCACAGGCGCACAGGCGCACAGGCGCACAGGCGCACAGGCGCACAGGCTCACAGGCGCACAGGCGCACAGGCGCACAGGCGCACAGGCGCACAGGCGCACACGCGCACGGGCGCACACGCACACCAACACACACACACACACACACACACACACACACACACACACACACACACACACACACACACACACACACACACACACACACACAGACACACACACCCACCACACATCGCACACACCACACACACCACACACACAACACACACCACACACACCACACACACACCACACACGCCACACACACACACACACACCACACACACACACACCACACATCGCACACACCACACACACCACACACACCCAAAAAAAAACACACACAACAAAAACCACACACACACGACACAAGAAACACACCACACACACTCAGGCGTATTCAGGTGTGCGAGGCGAGAGGTCGGCAGTTCTGTCAGTTGGTCCTGTTCAATAGTTAGTGTTTGCTTGAACGCTGCGCATCGCCGCGCCGAGCTCATCCCCATCTTCATCGTCATATTGCTTGCCGTTTCCTTTATGATGCTGGCGGGGCTCTGCTTCGACTGGGCCCTATACAGCATCTCCGACCTGCAGATCCAGCCTAATTGGATCGCCTTTCGGACAGATTAATAAGAGCAGCTTTCCTCAGCTTTCTTCAGCTGTCCTTAGCTGTCCTCCAAGACAATGTGGGACCAAGGCTTAGGTTCAGCTTGTTGCACCCTGCAAGGCCTTTGTGATTGCCTTCGCGTGTGGTTGCTTTATGGTCGTTGGCCGCTTGGCTCTGTATGGCCGGCGTGTTTTGGTGTTGCTGGATGGTCATTGCAAAGCTTGATTTGCTTTTGAAGTACACACAGGCGTTGTAGGCCCCTAAGATTGCAGCCCCTGAACCGAGTCCCAACCCCCCAAAGGGTATTCCCGGCCGGCTCGCTTTTTCTGCTTGTGCAGCTTGTTCTTTCAGCCCACGCGTTAGTTCCTGAAGCTTGTGGTTGACACTGCTTTGACAGACGGGACGAGAATCCCAATCTCTTCCCTACTCCAAGTCATGTTTTGGCACCATAGAATCCGTGAGCTAGATGCGTGTACTGAAGTTCAAGGCACGCTTCTTTTCTTGGTACTTGGCAAGTTGAGGCGCCTTTACTGTGGCGTGGCCTGTTGGTCTCGCGGTTCTCATTGGCTCCGTGGCGGGTGCCTACTACCACAACAAAAAAATCATGAGCGGACCGAGCTTATTGCAGGAACCCGACTCGAAAATCTCGATGCTTGGGGCATTCAGTTCTTCTTTTCCGTTGGCTCCTGAAGGAAACTGTGCTAAGGCCAATCTTCGAATGTCAAGTCTTGCTGCAGTCTCCAGATCCGGGTTGCATGGGTCTAGGGCTGATTAGAGATAACGCGGCCACTGTTTTTCACCGCACGGGCCGCGTGGGCAGCCAGCCAGACGCCTCAGGACGCTACATCGAGCAGCTGTACAACTTCACTTGGGGAGCTGAGATTGCCCTGAGTCAATGAGTCAACTCGTGCGCACATGCGATATGAACCGAAAAAGCCTTCATATCATTATGATGTGGCATGTGTAGCACCGTCGTGCAAGCTCGGGCTCTCACTTCAAGAGGCGCTTGGCGAGACACCGGCTAGATTCTTTGAGTTGGGAGTTCCACCACCACCGATCCGCCCCGGCGGCCTGTGGATGTCACGGGTTAGGACTTGAATTGTCGTTTCCTTTTCTGACTCGTCTGGACCTCATCTTCGTTCCGCTCTTGTGTTCGCGTGCACAGTGAACTTCGCGACGCTCAAGGTCGTCCCTTTCAGACTACTGTCAGACTGTCAAATTTTCGATCTCGTGCTGCTCGAACTTTCAAAATGTGGCGCTCCAAAACGTTCAAAGTATCAAGCGTTTCGTGCTCGGGTGTCGTCAAACGTCAGAGTTTGAAGCTTCGAGCGTTTAAGCTCAAGGGTCTCAAACTGTCAAACTCCTGACCGAGTCGAAGCCTCAATCTCTCGACCTCTGGAACTCTCAAACCCTCAAACTTCCTCCATAGACTTCGCATTCATTGAACTCGAGAGTTCTCGAACTCCAAACTCGACACCCTCGAAGCTTTCGAGCTGGTTGATCTGGAAGTTTTCCAAGCTTTCAAACCGTTCGAGCTCGGAAGCTTTTCAAACTTTCAATCGGCACTTCCCAACCTGCAACCCGCTAAGTTCTGCATCAGAAGCCCCCTCCTAGATCCTAAACCTTTCGCGCCCATCACCATTGTGCTTTCCAGATTCCGACATGTTGGCACGGATATTGGGCTCCTTGAAGCCATCTTGGCTTAAGATCATAGAGTCGCGGATTCCTTGCAAAGCTTGTCATCAAGTTGAGTGCTCAGCGAGGTAGATGAGTTAGTCGAGACATGAGGGAGCTCGAGCTCGACCGTTTAGAGAACGTGAAGGAGGGGAAGTATGTCTACTGAGCCTACTGGATGTGTACGGGCGACCTCGGTAAGATGGTCGAAGTCGAAGTCATTGATGATTGGACAAGGGGCGAAATTCCCTAGCGGCACGTACAAGGTCAAGGCCATTTCCCTAAATATCTCCGACATCCAACAGAATAGCTTTTGGCATTGCGTGACGGACGTTTACGTATTCGAGAGCATCGGCCAGGTGAAGGACTTGGAGGAGGTCAGGCTGATCGTGGAGATCAGGGTTTCTGAGGTGAAACTGAAGCCAAAGACTTCCAAGCCGAGACCCATGTCTTCTGGATGAAGTCTGATAGCGATGTTCCACCCCAGGTGGGCATGGTCTTCGGGGATCTGAACGATAAAGGAAGAGTCAAAGTGAAGTTCCGAATGGGTCCTGGCGCTTGAGGTGCGGGTGGGCGGGTAAGAATGGAGGGAGGGGGGGGCGGGGTGGCGCGAGAGGGGGGTTGAGCACTCAGAAGCCGGTGTCCAACAGGGAGATCCGCTTGGCCCTCTCCTTTTCGCTTTGGCCCTCCAGCCGGCGTTGCAAGCTGCTAAGGCGGGGCCCACCCCAGCTGCGCTGGTGCTTGCTTCCCTTGATGATGTGTGCCTTGCTGGAGACTACCGGCAGGTCGCTGCAAGCCTTGCTCGTCTTGGGGCTGCCGCCCGACAAATCGGACTGGAACTCAACCCGACCAAATCACCTGCGGCGGTCCAGACAGCTGTGTTGACATGCGGCTCTTCCCCGCTGGGGTGCGGGTTAACTCCTGTGGCGCCTTCTCCATTCTTGGCGCCCCTGTTGGTCAGCAAGCATTCTGTGAGGCGTTCACTACCAAGGAGCGTGTGGAAAAGGCTCGGCCGCTTCTCACAGAGCTGGCAGCGCTCCCTGATGTACAAACTGCTCTGCTCCTTTTGCGGCACTGCGCGTCCTTCTGTCGGGTTGCCTACGCCTCCCGGGTCACCCCTCCAGGCCACCATTGCACTGCCCTGAATGCCTTCGACGCCGATGTCAGGGCTTGCCTTGCGCACATGTGCACTGGCCCTTTGCGTTCCGAGGCGTGGGCTCAGGCCACCCTGGCAACCTCCGTCGGCGGATTGGGCCTCCGCTCTGCCCGACGGCATGCGCCGGCCGCTTACTTGGCCTCCCTGGTCAACACTGCGCAGGCGTGCGCTTTGTTGGACCCAGACTACGACCTTGCCACCCACTCTGCCTACCTCGCAGCAATCACCGCCCACAACCAAGATGCAGTCAGACCATTTGCGTGCGCCCGTGCCGCCTACCACTCGGCAGCGTGAGCTGTCTCAGGCACTCGACCGCGCAGTGATCTCGCAGCTCCTTGCCCCGGGTCAGGGTCGTGAGGCCGCCCAGGCCCATCTGCGCCTTCTCGAGCTCCCCGGCTCTGGGGCTTGGCTCCACGCCCCTCCCAGCGAGGCTCTTGGGCTCCATGTTGCACCCCGCCTCTTCCGCGTAATGGTGCAGCTCCGTCTCCGCCTGCCCGTCTCTCCGGAAGACACGCATTGCCCCTTATGCGATGGTGTCGCTGACGGCTTTGGCGACCATTCTCGTTGCTGCCCATGTGGCAGGGAGCCATAACCGTCTCAGGGCCGTGGTGGCTGCTGGAGTGCAAGCTGCTGGGCTTGGGGTTGAGGTCGAGAAGCCGGGCCTGCTTCCCCTGCGACCGGATGGTGATGGTGCTGAGGATGGCGGTCGGGGTGCCGGGCATCGCCGCCCAGCGGATGTGCGGGTTGCGCAATGGGGCTTGCATGGGGCCGCCGCATTTGACCTTGCCGTCACCTCCGGCCTCCGCGCAGGAGCCGTCCTGGCTGAGTCCGCGCGCTCAGGCGTAGCCGCGGCTGAGGCCTACGAGGCGCGCAAGCGCACCCACCTCCAGACAGAGCAACACTGCAAAGCTGAAGGCCTCCAATTCGTCCCGCTTGTTGCCGAAGCCAGCAGCGTCCAACGGCTCAGTCTACCTGGCGCCAGCTCGCGGGCCTGATCTGGCGACAGTCCGGGGGTTGAAACGGCTCGCCTCCTGCAAAGCCTCTCCGTGGTGCTACAGCGTGAAAACGCCCGCGCTGTGCTCCGTCGCCTGCCGTCAGGCGCGGGCGAGGCTCGCCCCAATACACCCTATATAAACTCTCAGGTTGCGGGGCTTGGGTGCTCACAGAGGGTTTTCAGAACTTTGGCTGTTCTGGGATGCTCACTGCAGAATACGTAGCGTTTCTCGGCACGTTCACGACCGTCTTCCGTCAGCAACCCCTGCCAGCGACAACTTGACGAAAGCTTGGCCTGCGCAGGGTCGCGTTTGGACAGTGAACAATGAAGCACCACTGACCCCTCGACAATGTCACATGACCCTCACACCTTATAATCAGGTTCAAGATGTATAGGGCAAAGAAACCAATACCAACATCATTTTCAGAAAGGGTGTTTGTGAATGAAAATAAATGAATGCGCAGATCTTATCAGTATTGCGGTTGGTGTCGTCTGTATGTATTTCAGCTATTTTTGTGGTACTTTACCTGATGGGCTGGGGTGGTGTTGGCGCAGGGCTGGAAGTGTGGCACTGTGTTTGAATACGGCAAGCGCAGCAACGTCGCGGACAGACGTGTGTCGAAGTACTTTGTCGCAGAGCCAAAGCACAACACTACAAACATCAAGACAGGAAAGAAAGTTTGCACACCTTTGCTAAAGAAGCAACAACGAAAATACACACTTCCAGCATACATTTTTAAAAGTCGCCCGAGCACCCGTGCATCACAGGAGCTCAGTCTCATTAGCAGAATTGCGGAAGTCCAACACAAGACCAACACATGTTGTCAAAACCACCTTACTTTCTGTTCTACGCCGCCGGGTTACACTTGTCGCGAACGTGCCATTTTTGTTTGGGCATGTTCACAAGCAACGTCAGCCCTAAACCCTTAACCCAATGAGGGTGTAGGGTTGATTAGTACATTGTTTGGTTGGAGAGATGCTAAGTAGCTAACTGGGACCATTTCCACACGCATTTACAAGCGTAAGGGTCATGGGTTTAGGGCTTAGGGTTCAGGCGGTTCAGGGTACAGGATGTTGGCCCCTAAGCTCCACACCCTCACGAGGTGAAGCGGAAACATCGCGAAATTCGGCTGAGGTGTTCCTTAGGGATGAGGGTCCTAGGTCACAGCCCCAAAAAAAACTGCCTTAGCAGCCAAGAGATCTGCGCGACATGCTGTAATGGCCCAGGAGTTGTCCAGCCGACTAGCCTGAAGTCTCAAAGCAAAGGTTGGGTTTGCACACAGCTTCAGGAAAGGGCCACGGCCCTTCTTTTGGATTTTGGGTCGGGCTCCGGATTTTTTCACAGCCGTTTCATGCCAGGCTCAAGCAGCACACAGCCTTTTCAGATCAGGAGAGAGTGACGTCCTCTGCGAATATGGCTTTCCTTCGCTTGGCCTGCGCACTGATGCTCCTTTTCTACATCGAGAATGCTTGCGCCATCAGGGGGGGCGACGTCTCGAACGTGGAATGCAAGGAGAAGCTCACCGTCACCGCAGCGAAGCAACACTTCATGACCGAGGTTCCTGCTATCTTCTATCCCTCAGACCCTGCATCCTCCACCCTAGGCCCTGAACCCTTAGCCGCCTTAGCCGAACGTAAACTCTCAACTCTGATCCCTTGAGAACCTACAAATCCTTGCCCCCGCGCCCTCAACATGCAGAGCTTCACCAAAAGGCCGCGGCTCCTAAACCTATGCAACCATGCAGCTTGTGTGGCGTGCGGGGTTAGTCTGGAGCTTAGAGTTTAGGGTTCGGGATAGTAGGAAATGAAGGTGTAGGGGTTTAAGAACATAGAGAATGGAGGATTGAACCCTTGGATTCCTTGACAAGGGGTGCTGTGCATGGATGGTTCCTTTCCCCATTCTCTACAAAGAATCAACACGGAGCATGAGGCTCTTTCTACAAAAGCCCACTAGCCTACACTCTCAACCTTCGTGGCGTGAAGATACAAGGTGCAGAAGATGCCAGCCACCGCCACAGCCTTGTGCAATTGGGCGACGAATGGACAAAATCCAGACGCCAGGGAGGAGGCGCTCAAACGATGCCGCCTCTTTAAGTAGGGCCGGGTGCGGGGTGTAGGCTGTAGGCTTCAGCATCTTACAAGACTTGGTCAGTTTTTTTTCTTGGACCAAGAAACGAAACCCTACTTGCGTGTTGAGAGGCGCTGACGTACATGGCCAAGCAGCTAAGCAAGCTGCAGGTGTGGATCGCCGAAGATTGGGTTCTTGCCAGGTGTTTGGAGTCTTGGGTGGAGGGTTAGGGCGCATGGCTTAGAGACAGGGGTTTAGCGTGGACGAACTCGGACCGAGCAACCCAAACCCAATGGATTGTAAATTGTATTTCCATCTTCGTAACTAGGAACTGGTTATAAGTTTCTAGGAATTCTAGTTCAGAGTGCGTCTACCCATATACGATGACATACGCCCCCCAAAGCTTAAAGCCAAAGCGAAATTACCCTGTGCTTGATTCATCCCAGCGTCGCCTGAGCCTCCGAAGCCCATCACATACCCGTACAAGAACCCCCAATCCCTAGCGCACAAGTCTACAGGTGACTGGGTGCACCAAAGAGATGTTGGAGAATGGCTTGGACAAGTATTGCGCCTCTATGACGTGATGTTTCCGTGCTGTTGCGGAAGCAGTGCTGCCCTTGCAAAGTCCTGGAGAGAGAGCAAAAGAAAGATGCTGTGGGCAGGGGCAATGGTTGTGGTTGAACGTGTGACGAGGATGATCTTGCAGACATTTACCCAGCCATTTCACCGTATGCCGCTTGAGAGCGAGGAGTTTCAGGCCTAGGCCCGAGCAACTGCGCCATAAAGGCGGCCCCCGGCTCTAAGCGCTGTAAGCTAATTCCTTCTTATCCTCGGCGCCATCAGCCCCAAAGCTTCGCCCCTCAGTGCCACAGTGCCACAGGATGCAGCAACAGAATCAGAAACTGGCCCGCGCATCAGAAACTGCGAATCAGAAACTGCGAAACGGGTCTAGTTGAGAATCAGAGCGAACCAGAAACTAGCCGAAACTAATGCGATTCAGTATAGTGGCATCGTGGGGTGAAAGGGGGGGGGAAAAAAGAGGATACTCCACGCCTCGCAAGTGATGGGGGCAGGGGTGGAGGTCGAAACAACCTCCTGGCAACCTCCACGTCGGAGGCTCGTTCACTGCTCGGTCAATCGACTCACCCATCCACCTGCCCTCTCACCCGCCCGCCCGCCCGCATCGACACCGCTCGCTTCAGAGTGATGGCTTTCCCGGTTTCCCAACCATCCGTTTCCCAGTTTCTGTTCAGCCATTTGATTCAGCCGTTTTGCTGTTTTCGAAACAGCCGTTTGCCGGTTTCCTAATCAGCCGTTTCCCGGTTTCCGATTATCCTGTTCTGGTTTCCGATTCAGTCGTTCTGGTTACCGATCCAGCGGTTCTGGTTTCCAATTTTCGTCGACCGGGTCAAAGCCTTGTTAACGCGAGCACTCTTTCCTACATGCCTTGCAAGGATTCTACCAACAACCCCCCGCGCCCCGCCCTGTGCAGGTTTGGGGTTTTAGGGGGGGCTGGAGACGCGCAACAGTCGGCTCAAGGGTTGAGCGATTAATAAAGGGTATAAGGTTGTTGTTTTAAGACCTCAAACCCTGCACCCGTTAGGCCGAACACGTGAAGCTGGCTAGAAGCCTTCCCTTGTTTTGCTTTGGTGGGTGGGCGGGTGGGGGTGGATGAGAAACCGAGTCTCAAGGCTGACCAGCTCTCTAAACCCTTCGGCTTTCGGGCTTAGGCTAGGGTTTGAGGCATCCCAAATCCAAACCATCGCAGAGTCCACAGTCCACAGCTCTCAAGACAGAGTCCCGAATTGCCAAGGCGTGGAGAAAAGCAACGCAGACTGAGGGAGCATCAGTGAGGGGATCTTGAGGGTCAAAGCAGGCCTCATCTTACAAGCTTAGGTCATCTCGAAGGGTTCCCAGAGAAGCATCATATTCAGAATTCTGGGCACTAGACACGATCAGCAATGAGCTATCAAAGGGGTATGTGTGTACATTAAGAGGAGGTTTGGGTTGCTCGTTGACCGATCTGATGATGAGAGCGAGGGAGATGAAGAGAGTCCCAAATCTGTCACCCCGGTCGCAAACAGTGGGCGGTTGTGCTCCTTGTTTACACCGTGGCCCGCATTGCAGCAAATCTTGCTTCGTGAGCATACACTTCTCCTGTGCGATTTTTTGTGCATCCTTTGTGTAGCAGTTCCAAATGCGACATTAGACCCTTGGCCCTCTATTCTAAACCGTAAGCATTGGCATACAGTCACGAGAGTCAGCTGCCATGCGGCGCTGCCTGTCGTGCAGATCCGGGTCTGAAGTGGATCTGGATAGCCTCTCATTGCGTGATGCCGCTGACGTTGCTTGGCCTCAACCCCACCCAGCCCCACCCAGCCCCACCCAGCCCCACCCAGCCCCACCCACCCCCCCCAGCCCCACCCAGCCCCACACACACACACACACACACACACACACACACACACACACACACACACACACACACACACACACACACACACACACACACACACACACACACACACACACACACACACCACACCACACACACACACACACACACACACACACACACACACACACACACACACACACAACACACACACACACACACACACACACACACACACACACACACACACACACACACACACACACACACACACACACACACACACACACACACACACACACACACACACACACACACACACACACACACACACACACACACACACACACACACACACACCACACACACACACACACACACACACACACACACACACCACACCACACACACACACACACACACACACACACACACACACCACACACACACACACACACACACACACACACACACACACACACACACACACACACACACACACACACACACACACACACACACACACACACACACACACACACACACACACACACACACACACACACACACACACACACACACACACACACACACACACACACACACACACACACACACACACACCCTTAAACCCTAAACCCTAAACCCTAAACCCTAAACCCTAAACCCTAAACCCTAAACTGGAGCGAGCCGCGGGCGCTGCGGTAAGCAGCGGCGAGCGATACCGCGTGGCGACAGGCCCGCGGACGAGCCCGAGCCGTCAGGCGAAGCCTGGCGAGGGCTCGGGGCCAGTGCGCGCGGTGAGCGCGGCCCACGCTTAGAAGGGTTGAACCCGCGTGCCAGCGTCAGTCTGGCCCCAAAGAGAATAACCCTAAACCTTCGGGTTTTAAGTTAAGTCGCTCCATCCTTTAGGATTCTTGGGTTTAGGATTTAGGATTCTAGGCTTTAGGATTCTAGGCCTTTAGGATTTAGGATTTAGGGTTCGGGGCCTTTAGGATTTAGGATTCAGAGCCTTTAGGGTTTAGGATTCAGGGCCTTGAGGGTTTAGGATTCAGGGCCTTTAGGGTTTAGGATTTAGGATTCATGGCCGTTAGGGTTTAGGATTCAGGGCCTTTAGGGTTTAGGATTCAGGACCTTTAGGGTTTAGGGTTCAGGGCCTTTAGGGTTTAGGATTCAGGGCCTTTAGGGTTTAGAATTCAGGGCCTTGAGGGTTTAGGATTTAGGATTCAGGGCCTTTAGGGTTTAGGATTCAGGGCCTTTAGGGTTTAGGATTCAGGGCCTTGAGGGTTTAGGATTTGTGGATCTCCACGTCTACGGTAAGAGGCAGTGGAGTATTGCGCGGTTGACCCTTCTTTCGGGTCGAATGATTCTGCTCTCTTGCTGGTGTGAGGGCTCAAGGCCACAGATGTGGCAATAGAGCCGCAGAGCCCTAGGCACCCGAAGCCAATGAAGCGCACCTGGAGACAAAAGATGGCTTCTGACATGAGTCGCTGGCAATTCCGAAAGCTCATACGATACCAGCGTCAGCAGTTGCATCGGTCTCAGTGTTATGAGGCAAAGGTCGGTTTGCATGACCAACTTCAAGTTATACAGGTTAAGAGCCTTGAGATTCCACCGATTGAGTTTGCGCGGGCAAGTGGTTTTATGGGTGGTGCCAGTGGTGCGGTTGAAGGTTCTATTCACGGCGGCGGGCAGAGTCATCTTGCAGCTGAGCAACATGAGTGTAATTGGGAGGAGTATTTCGACACACTGCATGTGGACCGAGCAACTCAAACTACGCCGAGGCCGGCAGCTACCGCTACATCCACGCAGGTTCAGATTGATGATGCCCTACACCTAGGCGGCCCTTCAACAGTCCTTGGTGGGGCATGCTGGTCCGGCAGCTGGGAACCTCTGACGCAGCAGGTGCGCCCGATAGGGCGTTGTGTCCGGGTGAGCTGTGGCGTGGACAAGGCTGGTTGGCCCACTTTAGGCGAACCTGGTGTTGTCATAGGTGCCAGAGGGGCGGCTTGCAGAGTGATGCTGGACAGATGCGCTCCCGAATCAGCTGTTTGGCCAAAGAGTATATTCCAGGCATGGATCCCGAAGCCAGACATTTTTTGGGGCCCCTTGGTTACTCGAATGCTGTTTTCTGCTGAAACCGTTTCCACTGCTACCCAGTCTGAGCCAGCGTATGAACACCATGGAAACGCGATGGTTCAGACACCAACAGGCTGGGAGCAGGGGGGCTGCGAGACTACTTCAACACATCGTGTGACCAGGGAGGATGAGATCATTAACCAGTACCACTGTGGTGCACTCTACACCGAGCGCTGGATAACGGCGCTCGAACGCAGGCTCGATGGCGACGTACCAGAAGTCAAAGGCATCAGAGAAGAATTCGAGGAATGGGATGCCCGGATGTGTATATTCAGGCCCGTGGACCAACGTGACGTCAGCATACAGGCTACAAGCAGGTTGTGATGGAGATCCGAAATCGTTGCTCACATCCCCATGCTCGCAAAGCGGGGGGTGTGGATCTCCACGTCTACGGTAAGAGGCAGTGGAGTATTGCGCGGTTGACCCTTCTTTCGGGTCGAATGATTCTGCTCTCTTGCTGGTGTGAGGGCTCAAGGCCACAGATGTGGCAATAGAGCCGCAGAGCCCTAGGCACCCGAAGCCAATGAAGCGCACCTGGAGACAAAAGATGGCTTCTGACATGAGTCGCTGGCAATTCCGAAAGCTCATACGATACCAGCGTCAGCAGTTGCATCGGTCTCAGTGTTATGAGGCAAAGGTCGGTTTGCATGACCAACTTCAAGTTATACAGGATTTAGGGTTCAGGGCCTTTAGGGT